AGACCGAGGGATCTCGGAGAAGAGCACGGAGCTGGGAGAGGAGACTGGCAGTTATGGGGCTCACACCTCACATTGAAAGGGGCCCCCCACCTGCTGATGTGTGCAGCTTACTTACTCATTTCCTTACGCGTGTCCTCACACGTCTCCTGTACGGAGGACTTCCGTGGCTGTCTCCATCTTGTGCAGGGGAAAGGGGTCACCAGAAAGGTGAACCTCTTCTTCCCAAGAGTAAGCTCCTCTCAGACTGAGGTCTGCAGGCTCCTGGGCCAGGGCCCTCACGCTGGGGGGCCGGGCCTCGGAGGATGACCGCCCGCGCTCTGCTCTGTGCCTGCAGGAACATTACGGAGATGATGACCACGGTTTCGCTGCAGATTGTTGGGATCATCGAACCCATCATCCAGCATGCAGACTGGTTCTTCCCCGGGGGTACGTGGGGCGGCCAGTGGGGGAGGGGCGGCTGGGAAAGAGCAGGTGTCGCTGTGAGTTCTGAACCTTTGGAACAAGTGTCACTGCCCAGAGGTGTGTGCTTGTTCTGTTGTGCTGTGTTTTTAATCCCCCTACACACACACACACACACGCACGCACACACACACAGGCACACACACACACACACTCACACACCCACTCACACACACAACTTGTTCTGTTGTGCTGTGTTTTTAATCCCCCTGCACACATACACATGCACGCGCGCACACACACAGACACACACACACACTCACACACCCACTCACACACACACACTCTCACACACCCACTCACACACACACACTCTCATACACATACTCAGGTACAGGGTGGAGTCACGGCAGGTTCCTACTCTCTGGCCTGAAGGTGACCACTGCCTGTACCAGCCATGACCATGGACTTTCTGGTCCAGCGTCCACACCATGGTTTCCTTAAACCTGTGGATCCTGCAGTGCTGGTGCAGACAGGAAAGAGACCCTCTGCTTCCTGGGTGAGGGGGGGCTGAGACCAGAGGGAGGGGATCGCCTGGGTGCCACCCTTTGTTCTTCTTGGCGCTGTCCTCCGAGCGTCCCTCAGCATGTGAAGGTGGTCAGGTTCTCTTCCGTGCCTGGTTCAAAGAGAAGGCAGCTGCCCACGCGGGTTTTCATCATCGTCCTCAGCATGGGACCCCTCGCGTCTGTGGCTCTCAGCTGACGGCTCTGAAGAGACAGCAGTTGCTACACTAAGCAGTGTCCCCTTTAGAAAAGGCTATCCGATCTTATGGTTAGTAAAACTTAAGGGCATTTTATGCTAATGTTTCCATGCTCTGTCAGCAGTGATCGATTAGTGCTGATCTAGCACTTTAAAAGTTTGAGTGTGTTTATTTTGTTTCATGTGCTTTGACCATGAGAGCTCTTAAGAGTTCTGTTAGTCACGTAAAAAGCTGGGTGAGGGTCAGCAGTGAAGCTACAGAAAAGCAGGAAAGGAGTTGACGGCATGATGGACACGGCAGGTGCTGTGAGGAGCCCATGCGTTACCGCTGTGGTCCATGGATGATGACAGGGAAAGCGGGGGTGAGCACTCCTGTGTCCATCTATAGTCAACAGCCTGAGTGGCCTGAGTGAAATCTCCAGTTCTAATCCTTCACCATTTTTCTCTTTAGTTTTCCAGGAAGACATTCTCATCTATAAATCATAACACTGCCCCTTATTTTATTGTCTTGGCTGATGCCATAGGCCAGCACCCCGCCAGGGGTGTTAGATGACAGTGGTGAGGGGGGCATGGCTCTTTCCTGATCTGATTAAGACCCTCTTCACCATGAGGGTTGCGGTAGTTGATTTTATCTTTTTCGGGAAGTATGCCTCTGTTTCCATTTCATTAAGTTTGTTTTTAATCACAAATATAAACTGCTTTATTAAATGCCCTCATATTACCATGATAGGTGAGTTATATGAAGATGAACTAATATCAATAGATGGCCTAACATGGAACCATGGAACAACATTCTCTAGGGGTGAAGTAGGGAGAGGCCATCTGCTCCCCTCTCTGCCATGGAAGCACGTGACAGGCCCATTCTTTCTTCCTCACAGAGATAGAGTTCAACATCACGGGGAATTACGGGAGTCCGGTCCACGTGAACCACAACGCCAACTACAGCTCGATGCCCTCCCCAGACATGGACCCCGCCGACCGGCGCCAGCCCGAGCAGGCCCGCCGGCCCCTCAGCGTTGCCACAGATAACATGATGCTGGAGTTTTACAAAAAGGATGGGTATGAGCTGGAGTCCCTTTCTCCGCATCGGGGTTGGAGAGGGAGGGCTGGGAGGTAACCGAGACCCGGATCGACAGGAAGGCTGTGCGCACTGGCAGCGTTTGGTGACTGTGGCCTAAGCTGACCCTCAGCCTTGACGCTTTCATCCGCGCCTGGGCGAGCCGCTGAGCGTGCTGAGCAGGTTGAGTCAGGGGCCGGGCAGCTGCAGCCCCTGAGCCAACAGCTGTGGTCAGGGACTGACTAGTTCTCCTCAAAAAGAGAGAAAAGTCGGTCATTAAGGGGAATTAAAAATATATATAAACTCTTTATTTTGACTTGAAATTTATCAATCTCAGTTCTCAAATGTTTGATTTTTGATGCTAGGTCTGCTCGCTTGCGCTCTGCAGCAAGTTACACAGCGCCTCTGTACCGTCTAACATGTTCCGTTTCCGTCTCTTTAAACCAAGAGAAAACCTAGCGCTTAAAGCCATCTGAGTGTGAAACCCTAGTAGAGTTTTAAGATTTTTCCTTGTCTTTTATGATCATCACCTACACCTACGCTGATGCAGTTGTTACAAGGCTCCTAAAAGCATTCCACTGAATTGCATAGGAGCGACCCCTCACTGTCCTGTTAAATCAGCTTACGTAACATGTGATTGCCTCATATGATTCCATAAGTGAAGTGGGCACGGCAGGCTCATGAGCAGCACAGCTGGTTCGTGGTGGGCATCAGCTACGGCGGCTAAAGTGTGTGGCCTCCTGGGAGCAGCGAGCTGCAGGCGCCAGCTCATGTGTCCTCCGGAAGGAATCGGTGCAGTGCTTGGTCAAGCCAGTCTGCTGGGTAAACTATGGTTAGGAGTTAAAAGTGACTGTTGTAAAAGAAAATTTAGCAACTGCTGCTTCAGAATAGACGGGAGCATAAAGGACCTACTGGGAATACCAGAAAGCCGGCAGCTGTCCCCCCCGCCCCCCGCCCCCCCCCAACTGTGCCCCATGCAGACCACAGGTGAGCAGAAGCTCTGTTTGAAATGCGTGGGCCTACAGGACTTCAGAGGGAAGGTCGCAACCCAGGAGTCTGGAGGCTGTGAGTCCTACTTGTCACCCCTCCCCTCTCCCGGGTGGGCGGTGGCACTGGGGACCTCCTCTCCGTCCTGTGAGGGTGGAGGAGGGTTAGGAAAGCCACGATCTGCTTGTACCTGACCCGCCAGACATTTCACCCGGGAGGCCAGTGAGGGTTTATCTGCTCTGTGCTGCTGTTGGCTGCTTTTATAGTTAGTAGGGAACGAAAAACTGGAAATCTTAGAAGTTGACAGGAGCAAAAGGGAATTTCTTAAATCAGTAAAAAAGAGCATACTTAGAATCTGATCAATGGGAGCGAGTCAGAGGCAGAGATGGAAACAGGGAGAGACAGAGAGGAAGAGACAGAGAAGAGGAGAGACAGAGTGCTAGCCAGCGCACTGGAATTTGTTTTGAAAACTCGGTTCCTTTGTGCAGCAGCGCTAGCTGAGGGATGCCCAGGAGAGTCGGTTCTGGTCCCGGCTGAGTTATGGAGAACTCACCTGCTCCCAGCTGTTTGTGCATCAGAGGTGTGCGCACCTGCCTTGTCTGCCACACCTCGTCCGGTTCCCAGTCCCCCTGGAAAAGTGGTCCAGATGACGCTGAGAGATTGTCCCCGGGCAAGCTCAGGCATTCGGTCTGCTGGCCCCACAGGCAGATGTAGAAGCTTGAATGATGATCTTTAAGCAGATGCCTCATCTCTTGCTCAAGAACTTTGTAAATGATGTGCCCGTTCCACATAACATTCTGATCGAAAGCTGAAAGTGCCGCCGTGTGCTTTAGGGTGTGGAAGATGCGCTGCATAGATTAGTGTACACAAAAGGAATATTTTACGTCTTTTAGACCTGGAATCACACTCTAAGTTAATCGCAGGGCTTACTGCAGGGCCGCCCCTGAGCTGTCTGAGGTACAGGCGTGTGTTCAGGCTGCAGCCAGCTTGTCAATGAGCAGTTCCTAACTAGCTGTAAGAGAAATGGAAACCTAAAGTTGTTACTACGTGTTTTGGGGGAGAGAAAAGGAATTTGTATCAGTTGAGTATCTGTGTTATTTTAGCAATGTTAAGGGAAGTCTCCACATTTTCCCCACTTCTGAGCTTTTAAAAGCTTTGAGACACGTTTCAAAGTCTTCAAACTTACTCTGACCCCTTGAAGCACTGACAGAGTTTACTTTATGGAGGTTTTTTTGGTTAAAAAGAATATATTCAACTATATGTCAATAAAACTGTTACTTAGAATAAAAATAAAAGACAATTTGGGGAAGAAAATTGGATAACATTTTAGGCTGACGACTGTTATGTCCCAGACATCCTATGAGGTGGTTTATCCCCACGCCCAGCTCCTGGCTGGTCCCAACGCCTTTCCGACTCATGCAGACACAGGACGCTGGGGTTTTTTTTTGTGTTTTTTTAAAAAATATATTTTATTGATTTTTTTACAGAGAGAAAGGGAGAAGGAGAGGGATGGAGAGTTAGAAACATTGATGAGAGAGACACATTGATTCAGCTGCCTCCTGCACACTCCCTACTGGGGATGTGCATGCAACCAAGGTACATGCCCTTGACCGGAATCGAACCTGGGACCCTTCAGTCCACAGGCCAACGCTCTATCCACTGAGCCAAACCGGTCAGGGCTGGACGCTGGTTTTCTTTAGCAAGTCCTGGGCTCACAGATACATTTTCATGATGTGGGAGGCACAGCAGTGCCCCTCCAAAGACTTCAGGCCCTCAGCCCTGGAACTTGTAAATGTTACCTTATTGGGGGAGAGAGTCTTTGCAGATGTGATTAAAATGAGGATCTTGAAATAGCGAGGCTGCTCTGGATTGTCAGGGTGGGCCCTGAGCACCATGGCCTGTATCACAGGAGGGCAGCAGGGGTTACACACAGAGGAGGGATGTGAAGATGGAGCAGAGAGATTGGAAGATGTGGCCACAAGCCAACGAGTGCTGACAACCACCAACAGCTGGAAGGGCCAGGAAAGACTTCTCCCCATGAGCTGCTGGGGGGAGCCGAGCCCTGCTGACGCTTGATTCCCTGGTGACACTGACTTTGGACTCCTGGCCTCCAGAACTGTGAGAAAATACATTTCTGTCCTTTGCCCACTTGGTGGAACTTGAGACGGCAGCCACAGGGAGCTCTTCAGACATCTCTCTCCTGCAGCCACACCAACAACTTCCTGGTGAAGAGGCAGCCAGTGTTCCGATTCTTCTCCCACTGAGGGCTGAGGCCGACCTGCACCCCCTTCTCCTCTGAGCTGGCCTCAGCGACTGACTAAACCAGTGATGGCGAACCTTTTGAGCTCGGCGTGTCAACATTTTGAAAAACCCTAACTTAACTCTGGTGCCATATCACATATAGAAATTTTTTGATATTTGCAGCCATAGTAAAACAAAGACTTATATTTTTGATATTTATTTTATATATTTAAATGCCATTTAACAAAGAAAAATCAACCAAAAAAATGAGTTCGTGTGTCACCTCTGACACGCGTGTCATAGGTTCGCCATCACTGGACTAAACTAACAGAATGCAGCAGGAGTGATGCTCTGGGCCTCCTGAAGCTGGTCGGAGCCTTGTAGACATTGCCTGGGCTGTGGGAACCCAGCTACGTTGTCATGTGGGAGTCCAAGCAGCCCCTGGGAGAGAAACAAGCCCCACCCAGCCTTCCCCCCAGCCGAGCACCGAGCTGCCAGCCAGCAACTCACCAGCTTCGAGCCTGAGTCATCTTAGTCTTAGGCCAACTCGAGCACCCTCAGCTAGTTCTGTGTGGCGTCCACAAGCTGTCCCTGTCTGACTTGCCAGAACTGTGGAGTTGTGACCCAGATAAATAAGCAACCAGGTTTTGAGGGTAGTGTGTTATGCAACAAAAGATAGAACAAGCTTAGAAAAAGAATACGATGCCTGCTTCCCCCGCCCCCTTTCCTCAGTCTGATTAGTTGGCCCGGGCTAGGCTTGAGGCATTGGTATTTGTTAAAGTGCCCCCATGTAATGCTAGTGTGCACCTAGGTTGAGACCACTGACTCACAGAAAAATGTTGCCATTCTGGATAAAGAATTTTGCAGTGATACCAGCTTTTAAAATTTTTCAGACCTTTCCTACTTTAGCCATTGAGTGACCCAATTTTAACAGGTCACACCAGCGCTCTCTGCACATTCCTCAGCTCCCACGGAGGAGTTTTAGGGTGCAGGTTGTCATGTATTTTAATGCCTTGTTTTTGTTATCTTTTTTGTTTGTTTTATAGAATAGTGACATTTGTTTCTTGGATCATTCATCCCAAATAATAACTGACGGTGAACTTGCAAACCCCTTCTATTTTGCTGACAATGGCAGGCGTGTTATCTGAGATTATATGAACTATTTTTTATGCTGGACCCACTGCCTCTGAAAGAGTAGCCAAGGGTCCGTGCTCCTGCCCGCTGGTCAGGGTGGACTCAGGCCCTAAGGGTTGTCAGCTGCCTTCATGGCTGCATCCCTAGCAGCACCTGGGCAAACTCCGAAGGGATTCTTGAAGGGCCTGTGGAGAAGCCCAAGGCAACAATAGAAAAGATACCAGCAACGAAGCTTCCTCGCTAGCATCTATCTCTACCCTCCTGATGGTTACACTCTCCTCCCCTCTGCCTCCACTCCCTGCCCCTTGGCAGCCTCAGACTTCAGACAAACCTGGCCATACCACCACTGCCCATTCCCTACCTCACATGACCGTTTCCTAGTCGCCTGTTTTCCCTGCTGCCTATTTGCCGCTCCTGGCTCTGGCCCATGTTCCCTAGACCTGCCTGCCAGCTGACACACCTCTGGCCCATGTTCTCTACACCTGCCTGCCAGCTGACACACCTCTGGCCCATGTTCTCTACACCTGCCTACCAGCTGACACACCTGGCCCATGTTCTCTACACCTGTCTGCCAGCTGACACACCTGGCCCACTGCCCGTGCTTTCTTCCAGCCTCTGGTATCCCTATACCCACCAGTGG